CATAGGGTCGCTGTGAGTCATGCTCGAATAAAGGCAATCAACAAGAAGAAGCCACTAAAATGTATTTCCCAGATACACACACACACACACACACACACACACATTTTATTCCCTCTGGGATATTAAATCATTATGCTATTTAAGGCAACTGGGGTCTAAGATTAAAATGAAGATGGGATTAGTTTATCCTTGAATGACAGGGTTCTTGCATCCAATTTCCCTTCAAATACTAGGGATCTGAAACTGTATAAAACAGAACATCTGCTCCTAGGGCTCTTCTGAGTCGATTCCAACTCATACTGACTCAATGTATGCAGAGTAGAACAAGAATCTTGAACTTTTTCAGAAGCAGACTTTCAGGACTTCAGAAGGGTTTGAACCACCAACCTTTCTACTAAGAGTCAAGTGTCTACCTATCTGTTTGTACCACCAAGGGACTTGTACCACCACCCAGATATTGTACCACCACCATATTAATACCTTTGATTGTATTAGAGTACATAATTAAATCACTCTAAAAATGGAAAAAATCATTCCCTTTCAAAAATATAGTTTCCCCAAAAGAATAGTCAGTTTTACTGTCTAATAGAGACTGGTAAAATCCAAAAGAGCTCCTGAGTCACTCTTCAAACCTAGAACAAAACTCACCCATCTACTACCAGCCAAACAATAGGTAAGCCTATAAGATGAACAATAACATTATGGAGACACGACTTAAAATTATCAATCACCTAAAGCCAAAAGCAGGAGCGGCATCCACTTCCTAAATAACATGCCTCCAGAAACCCTATGAACTTTGATAAATGTCGATAGTTGTAGAGGGCCTCCAGGCCTTTTGTTCATGGGGTCACTATGAGTTGTGCTCAACTCGAAGGCAATCAACAACAACAACAAAGTTCAAAGGGCAATATTTGCTAAGCTTAGAAGGCAGAAAGGAGTAGAAAAGAAAGAGTAATGGAAATAAGAACAACTGGGATAAAATGAAAGAGTGATGTTACATTGTGAATATTATAATTAAGGTAATAGAATAAAATGTGTATGAATGGTTGAAAATAAAACCAATTTATTTTCTAAAATTCCATTCAAATGAATGTTATGTCACCAGTATTATACATGCTCATTCCTTAGCAAACTTCCTTATACTTACCGGCTGTAAACTTTAGTTAGTAAGTTATTTATCTGCTTGTCAATTTTGTATTTTCGGTAGTCTTCCAGGCCATCTTTAATTGCGATAATTGTAAGGACAACTACCAGTGGTAACATTGTAATTTCCTTCTGGAAGGCTTCTACCAAAGGCACCCAGTTCAGGACCACTAGGAACAGGAAATATAAATTGGCGACTCTGCAATCCAAACAAACACAAGGTGGTATCAACAAATCTCTCCAAGGCTGTTTACCTCCAACTTCCTTGTCACTGGTTTTAGATGTGACAAGAATACAGAACTAGCATAATTTAGTTCTTTGAACAAATCTGAAACATATATTTCCTTCATCAGTATCTGGCTCTCAGAGATGTTAATACATACTAAATCTTATTTAGTAATTGCAAATATTTGGGTGTGACAATGAGAAATTGCAAAACACATGGCATAAAGTGTAATAAGAAATAGAACCCCCTTTTCCAAAAATCCAATACGGGAAAAAACAGGACGACATTCAGAACTGTGGAATTCAGAGTAGTAGAAATATATTTTTAAAAAACAAGCATTGGCCTTCTGAAAATTAGACTTAAACACTGCTAAAAATAAATAGAAAACCCTTAGGTTTTCTTTCCCCCTTGAGGTTAATTCTTGCAATTCTTTTTTTTTTTTTTTTAATTCTTGCAATTCTGATTTTAAGCTATTTAGAACTTTCTCTATGAACAACTTATATCCCTCTTATTTTACATCTTCAAATACTCATCTTTGGCCAAATTAAGTTCAAGCCCCATTCCCTTTCATCAAAACAAAACAAAACAAACACAAAATCTCCAAGCATGATTAATCCTATAATTTTTCCCCTTTCATAGTAAATGTTTACTATGAAACTTCTCAAATGAATAATTGCACTAACCCAGGGACGCAGAGGAACTCTGGTGGCCTAGTCCATAGGGGTTGGGCTAACTCAAACCTGCAACAGGGTTGGGCTAACTCAAGCCTGCACGTTGCTGGTGGCTCTCACCCACCAGTGGCTCTGAAGGAGAGAGATGGACAGTCTCTTCCCATGCAATTTACAGTCTCAGAAACCCAATGGAAGGTCACCTCCGAGTTGGTTCTGAGTTAAAGGCAGTGAGTTCTTGTTGTTGTTGAAGGACAAACAGTGGGCAAATCTTTCCTCATTAACTGTATGTTAAAGATTAGCAGGGACCCAATTGCCCAAGTGTGGAAGTGAATCCAGTCCTCATCGACCCAGTTCTCCATTCGTGTTGCCAATAACACACTCTCTTTCTCTGACCCTAGCCGCTTGGAGTCAGAGGTTCCCCATTAGAAGGACACCTTTGTTCTGACTTCCAAACAAGCAGACAGCCAAACTTATTGACTATCTCTCACTTATATGAGTGTGTTTATTCACTTGAAGGTCTGAGAATCTCATGGTAAATATAACATGTATACAATAATAGCTTTATTAGAACTGAAAAATACCCAGACAATGAGGATAATAAGGTGAAATCTATGAATAATCACAGATAGCTCCCATGAAGGACATGCTACCCTGTCCTATGCAGGGTCAAAACTAAGAAGCCCATCCTCAAGGCTCAGGGTTCAGGGCTCTTATAGGCCTCATACAAAGCCACAAAAGATAGATTTCATCACACTTCCTAAGCTTTACTCAGCTGCAGGTCCAGGCAGTGACCTGCAGCATAGTTGAGCTCCATTCACAGCCTCAAGTATTGGTATAGCTTGGAAGAATCAAGAACAAAGATCAAATTTCTTTCTGCTATGATTCCCCACCTCAGAGTAAGCATTCTATACACATCTTCTCTTCCTCATCTCTAACTGCTTTTCACTCTGAAAATTTCTTTCATTCTCTTATAGTAACTTCAATTATGTCACTATGGATCACATCCAAACCAACAACTCTAGACTTGAACTCTGTATAAAAATTTCCGGATTTTCAAACCATCATTTCAGTAAATTTACATGTGTGCTTTAATAGAATTTACTGTTTAATCACTATAAGTGATAGAATGACAGAAAATGAATAAATGGAGGAAAAGATACTGTGACTCTATATAACTCACACTGGCATCTCAAACTCAACATACTCAAAACCTACAGTCTTGAAATTCTTTTACTGTCTTTTCTTTGCCTAGTGAGCTCTGATGGCACAGTGTGCAAGGACCTACACTGCTAACTCAAGATCATCCCTTCTCCAGCAGTGTGACTCCTACTCATGATTCCATGGAAGAATGATGGGAAAACTCTTGTATGATTCCCAGCCTCAGACATGCAATAGACTGTTATCTTTGAGTGAGTTTTGACTCCATGGCTATCAGTTTTGTTAATGTTATTGTCTTTCTGTTAATCAATCCTCTTGGCCATCATAGTTCAGCGCATTTGTTTTGTTTTGTTCGTTTCATTGAATTCTCCACAGCTGAACCACAGAATCTATAATAGGCTATTTCCCCTTCATTTCCATATTATTAGAAGGTTAGGTTTCCATTACCACCCACCAGGAAGTGTGTGGCATCTTCATTACGTCTCTTGGCCCTCCATCATCTACCACCGCACTGCCTCTCTGGAGACATAACCACCTGGCTGTAGTCACGTTGACTTTGGCTCATGGTGACAACATGCTCATAACAGAGTTGAACTGTGCTCCACAGGGTTCCAACAGCTGATTTCTCAGAAGTAGAGCTTTCTTCCGAAGTGATCCTCTCTGACTTTTCAGTTAGCAGTCCAGCCTATGACTAACTGCTTGCAACACTTAGGGACATTTCAGAACGAAATACAGACATGTAATTATTATACTAAAAACAGTCTGCAGACTTGGGTCTCAACTCTTTAGCTAGGGTCTTAAATGCTCTCATTGTGTTCTTACTCAAGCTCCTACTTCCATATGAAATGTGCTTTGCCCACACCTCTGCACTGGAAAACTATTTATCATGCATGGTCAAGTTTAATAGTTACTTCACCATCTACCTCAACTAGCATCATATATTTTTCTTTTTGAATGCCATAGGATAGTACTCCTCTGACCTACTATACATTTCAGTTGTTTATATAAACATTTCCAGGATAAGCATAAAACACCAAAAACAAATGAGAAACACTTATTTTTACATTTTATTCAGTGATTGAAAGCTTCAATATATACTCAAATGAATTATGTCACAGTACCATCTATACCACCTTATGTTTGCACCAAGTTCAAATCTCTATTTCCCCATATTAGAAAACAAGAAACACTGGAAATTAAAATTCAGCATATTTTAATGGTTGGATTAACTGAGGTAGTATTCCCTAGTTTGCTATTTACTACTGCCATGGTATTATGTAAAGTTCAGTTTTAAATATGTGCTTTCTAATCTAGAATTACTGAACATCCATTCCATGACAGCCAAAAGAACAAAAATGTTTGTCTTGGAGTAAGTGCAACCAGGCTGCTCCTTAAAGGCATGGATGGTGAAACTTCATCTTCTGTCCTTTGGGCGTGCTGTCAGGACAGGATAGTCCTTGGAAACAGACATCAAGCTGAATGTCAATGAAAGAAAGATTCTCAAACAGACAGGCTGATACAGTGACTATAACAATGGGTTCAAGGAGAGGGCAAAGTGCACATCTATTGTTCAAAAGGTTGCTATGAATAACTCGATTTGATGGCATCTTACAATAACATTAGGATGGTCAGTGAAAGAGAGGAAGACCTTCAATGAGATATACAGGGACAGTGGCTGCAGCAATAGGCTCAAATGGGTCAGAGTTGATGAGGACAGCATAGATTTTAGGACTGTTGTTCATAGGGTTGCTAGGAGTTGTACTTCTTGTTAGACCTAACAACAACAATATTCTAGAACGTGAGGATAACATCATCTCCTCTGGCAAACAGAAAGTATCTTAACAATTATAAAGTTTCATAATTTCACAAAAGACGTTTATCAGAGTCATCAAAAATAATACCACAGGTTAAACTCTAAGCAACATATAACATAAAACCCAATCCAACCCATTGTAGTTGAATAGCTTGCAACCCACTAATTTTTTGAGGCTGTAATTTTTATGGGAGAAGTTGCTTGCTCATCTTTCTCCTTCAGAGCTGTTAGTGGACACATACAACTAACTGTCCTTTGAGTTAGCAAGTTATAATACCACTACAGTGCCCTATGTAATGCCAAAATTTTCTTTATAAACTAGAATGACAAAGAAAATTCTAGTAAAAAAAAACCAATAAATAAAACAGTACCTGTGAAATTGTTCAAATAAATTTCTTGGCACAAAGTTCAGAAGCGTGTACTTTGTTGTCCGTATCCGATTATTCATGTAGGCTCCAGAGAACTTTTCATATTCATCCTTGAAGGGCCAGGGGTGGGGGACAACCACTCGGTGTTTTCCAGACAGTCTTGGGGTCTGGGAAGTCTTGCCACCACAAGGCAGCAACGAGGAGTAGTTGTACGGCCTCCCATCACTCGCCCGGTTCGCACCACCCATCAGCCGCCGCCAGTAGTACCTGGCCCACTGAAGGGGCTCAGTCATGTCCGAAACACAGTGAGATCCAGGTTGTACATGTGGTCTGTGGAAACAAACAAAAAAAACTATTCCCACTACCCTCCAGCAAATCTTATGCATAGTAACATTTTTAATATATCAGCTAAATATACGTCGCAATGATACAAGGTACAAATAAGAAAACAAAACTGGTCTTTAGAATTCAGCCTTAACCAAAAATCTATTAAATCAAGCATACATTTCCTGCTTCATGTGCTGATCATCTAAGCAACAAGAGACAGCAACAGCACAGACTCTCCATAACTGAGCAAAACACGTGGGCTTGATGTGTACAATTCTAAAGACCAGTTTTTTTTCATTTTTGAAATGAGAATAACACCACCCGAACCAGGTTATGGTGAAGATTAAATAGAACATCCAGCTTTATGAAGCGTGATACAGAGGAACAATTTATACAAAATCAAAGCAAAATAAAAAACCACTGAAATCCAGGCTGTTTATTGCAAAAATAGTCATGACTTCTTTCCAGGTCTGTCTCCACTCATGAAGAACTGAGTCCTTTCTCCACCCATGAATCTGGGCCTGGCCACATGTCTTTGGCTAATGCCAAAGCACCCATGATAAAAAACATGCGGCAAATATGCTACAAAGAGGTTTGAAAAATGTGTCCTCATTAAAGATTTGCTCTCTCTTTCTGAATTGGGAGATCCTTTGGCTACATGTCTGCTAGATGGTGAGAACAGACACTTTGATTGCTCCTGTCAAAACACATGTGAGGCCAGTGACCACCAGCTGACCGTTAACACACGAGCAAGCCCAGATGACACAACCCAGAACATCAACGGGCCAATCCAGCCCAAATTAACGACTCAGTGAATTGTGAGCTAACAGGTATTGTTTGAAGCCACTAATTTCTAGAGCAGTTTGTTACACAATAGATAATAACAGATGCATGGTCCCATCCATCATTCCTTTGTGAAGTTTTTACTTTCCAAGAAATTAAGTCTTGCCTGGAATGTGAACTCCTCACTTATGATAACAATAAAATTGTCATTTATAGGCAGTGAACTCTATTCTAAGCACTTTGCAGAGTCTTACATACATTATTTCATATGCATATCAATCCTATCAGGGAGGCAATATTTCAAATTTACAAAAGAGGAAATAGATTTAGTGAAGTAATGTACTTGGGGGAAATTATGCAGTTAGTAGCTGAGAGCTGATTCAACCAAGTATTTTTGACCCAGCAGTTTCTGATTTTTAACTGTAACACGGACATTTAGAAATTGTAATTCATTAGGTTGCAGCATTAGAAGAAATGGTCCCAGTCTAAGAACTGTATATAAATAAATTTAAATATATTTTAAAGAAAAAGAAATTAAGCAATATATTTAATAACCACCCCTTGCTAGCACACTTGTTTACAATATAGAAAAACCAGTGAGCAATTCAATAAATTATAGTTACTTGACTATGTGGATCACAACAAACGTGGCTGACTCTGAGAAGAAAGGGAATCCCAGAACACTTGATTGTGCTTATGCGAAGCCTACACTTGGATCAGGAGGCAGTCATCAGCACAAAGCAAGGAGACATTTCATGGTTCAGAATTTGGAGGGGTGTACAGATGGGATGTGTCCTACCTACATACCCTTTCAATCTATATGCAGAACAGATTATCTGGGAGGCTGGGATCTATGAGGAAAAATGTGGCATCAGGATTGGAGGAAGACTCATTAACAATCTGTGTTATGCAGATGACACAACTCTGTTTGCTGAAACTGAGGAGAACCAGAAGTACTTGCTACAGGAGTCAAGGACTGCAGTCTTCAATATATATTGAAGCTCAATATCAACAAAACAAAGATTCTCACCATTGATTGGTAGCATCATGATAGATGGTGAAGAGATTGAGATTGTTAACAGCTTTAGTTTGTTTGGCTTCACAGTCAACACTCTTGGCACCAAGAGCCAGAAAATTAAAAGAGGAATTGAACTGGCAAAGTCTGCTGTCAGAGACCTCTTCAAAGAACTTAAAAACAACAATGTCAGACCAAGGTGCACCTGATCCAGGTCATAGTCTTTGCAATCACTTGCTATGCATCAGAAAGTTAGACAATGACTAGGGATGACAGAAGGAGAATTGATGCCTTTGAGCTGTGGTGCTGGAGAAGAGTATTGAATATACCATAGACTGCTAAGAGAACAAACAGGTTTGTCCTGAAGAGGGTTAAACCAGGCTGCTCCTTGGAGGCAAGGATTCTGAAGCTTTGTCTGATATGGTTTTGATATGTTACAAGGAGGGGCATCACCATTCTTGGGAGGGTGGAAGGACAGTGCAAGAGAGGAAGACCTTCAAAGAGATGGATTGATTCAGTGACTAGGGTGTCAGAGATGGTAAGATTGGCACAGGACAGAGCAGGGTTTAGGGCAGTTGTACACAGGGGTCACTATGAGTTGCAAGCAACTCAATGGCACATAACAACAACACTTTGTCACTCAATTTACAAAAATGAAGTTGAACCACAAAGGTAAATCTAAAGATAAAAAGGAACAGATAATTCTTTTTGTAAAAAAAAAGTGGATACATCTGAAGCAAAATAATAAAAATAAATATGAAGTGGCAAGAAGCTGCACTGCAATCCCAGAGGTAGACGGTTCAAATCCACCAGATGCTCTGCCGGAGAAGGAGGAACAATCTCCTCCTGTACCAGTCAGACCTGATTTGACGGTACACATGCACAAAATAATAAAAGAAAATAAAATTTAAAAAAAATAAATAAATATGAGAAAACTATAACTTTTAGTGAGAGCACAATATTCTCTACACATATGCATGCATACCTGGATCTTGGACCTACAGTTCCCAACCCGTGTTTTCACTGAAGAAATTCTCATCTGGCAAGTGGTTAGGATTCACCACCCTCTCTGTGGGAGAAAGATGGGAAGCCTCTCCTCATGCAATTTACAGTCTCTGAAAACACCCCTAGAGAGTCACCTATGAGTTCATTCCAATTCCAAGACCCACAGCAATAACATTATAAGTGAAAAGAAATATCTGTAGCACCAGTCTTATCCATTTTATATAATAATGGTAACAAGAAGGATGGAAGTTATAATCCTATAAGGTCTTTATGTACTTTTTTCCATTAAGAACTAAATCCATAGAGAACGCTACCTCAGCATAATAATGTCCGACATCTCTCCAATATAATTTTTAAAAACATACTTTAGAAATTTTTTTTAAATGAATTTTCACTTTCACATGATAAAAGCTAGCTAGATCTTCCATCTTAACCTGTACAGAGTAATAATGACAGTTTGGTTACTAATACTAAGCCCTCATAACTAAGCCCCCAAGGATTAAGTTTATGTGAAAATGCTTTACAATGAATAAGGAGGACCTGAAGCACTTGCTGCAGAGGGTCAAGGACACAGCCTCCAATATTGATTGAGGCTCAATGTCAAGAAGACAAAGATTCTCACCACTCGACCAATTGGCAGCATCAGGATGGATGGTGAAGAGATTGACATTTTTCACAGCTTTAGTGTGCTTGGCTCCACAGTCAACACTCTCGGCACCAACAGTCAGGAAATTAAAAGACGTATTGCGATGGGAAAGTCTGCTGTTAGGGACTTCTCCAAAGTACTGAAGAGCAATGGTGTCTCTCTACAGACTAAGATGTGCCTGAGACAGGCCATGGTCTTTGCAATCACTTGTTATACACGAGAGAGTTGGACAATGACTAAGGAGGATAGAAGAAGAGCTGTGGTGCTGGAGAAGTGTATTGAGGGTACCATGGACTGCAAGGAAAACAAATTGATTCATCCTGGAAAGGGTTAAACCAGGTGGCTCCTTGGAGGCAAGGATTCTGAGGCTCCATCTAACATACTCTGGACATGTTGTAAGGAGGGACCGGTCCTTGGAGAGGGACATCATGCTTGGGAGGGTAGAGGGACAGCGCAGGAGGGAAGGCCCTCTAAGATGTGAATTGATTCAGTGACTGGGTAATCGGAATGGGTGTATCAGAGATGGTGCGATCGGCACAGGACAGAACAGAGTTTAGGGCTGTTGTACATAGGGTCGCTATGTACAAGTGACTCGACGGCACACAACAACAACAACAACTGTTGTTAGAGTTGCTAGGTGTCCCTTGGACTGGTTCCAACTCATAGTGAGCACCCAGCTGTCATAGTCCGTCCCCACAATTGCTGTGATTGTGCATGCCCACTGTCACCGTGACAGCGGTCATCCATCTCCTTGAGGGGCTTCATCTTCACTGACCCTCTGCTTCATCAATCATGAGGTGCTTCTTCGAAGACTGGTCCTTTCTGATAACATAGTCAATGTATGTGAGGCAAAGTCTTACCATATTCACATTTTAAGTTTTCTTAAAAATTTTATACTGGTTTACTTACAAAGTTCATAAAGTTCATATACATCACATTTAAGTAGCATTCTGGCTGTGCCAAGACAGCGTTGTGGTGGTCTACAGTATATTGAAGGGAACTCTGGTTCCCTAATGGGAAAGAGCTGCACTGTCATCCCGCAGGCATGCTGTTCAAATCCACCAGCTGCTCTGCTGGAGAAATAAGGGCAGTCTTCTCTCATGCAATTCACTGCCTCTGAACATCTGCTGGAGGGTCAGCTCCAGGCTGGTTCTGGCTCTACAGTACATAACAACATAGTATATTCAATATTCTTCACTAAGACCATAACCTAGATGTACAAATTCTTTTTTGTTTTCCTTATTTATTATCCAATTTCCAAATGCATACGAGGTGACTAAAAATGCAATGGTACACCTTACTCCTTAAATTGACATCTTTGCTTTTTAGCACCCTGATTGTGGATTCAAGTAACTGAAATCTTTGAGAATTTCACATGTTTATCTTTTTTCTCTTTTTTGCTTATTGATTCAGTTGTGAGAGGTTTTGTTTTCTTTGTGTAGAGATGTAATCCACATCGAAGTCTTTCATCTCAATCTTCATCAGTAAATATGTCAAGTTTTCTTTAATTCCAGCAG